GGTTCGGCCTCCCAGCGTTCGGGGGGTCCCCCCAGGGGGGCCCCATGGGGGCCCGCAGGGCCCTCTGGGGGCCCCTGGGGGCCCCCAGGGGCCCCCAGAGGCCCCAAGGAAGGCTAAAAGTGCCCATTTTGGCCCTTCTTGGGCCTGAAGGCCCTTGGCCGTTGGCCTCAGAGGGCTGGCTCTCGTTGGGGCTTTTGTGCATGCAGTTTGTGTCTCTATACTGCGAGAGGAGCAGCTTTTTGCTGCTGGGGGCCCCTTCACATGCCTCTTAGTCTCCACGCCGCTGCTGCCGCTGCCCGCTGGCAGACAGAGCGACGGGGGGGCCCCCACGGGGGCCCCCGCCAGCTCAGCGCGCAAGCCCGAGGACGCAGAGAGGGGCCCCCAGGGGGCCCTGGGGCCCCCGGGGCCCCGGAGGCCCCAGGGGCCCCCAGGGGGCCCGCTGTCGCCAGACAGCCCTGTACCCTTTCTCACCGCCACTGAGACCCAACAGAAAGTGGAGCGCTGGTGGAGGCAGGGGGCTCCAGGGGCCCTTGCTGAGCGGGGCGTGCATGCGGAGATTGAGCGTTTCAAAGCCACTTATGTGCTGGTGCGCCTAGGATTTAGGGTTTAGGGTTTAGGGTTTGGGGTTTGGGCTTAGGTTTGGAAGAAAACGAAGCCAGCGCGCACGGGCTGTAGCCCCCGAACCCTTTCTCACCGCCACTGAGACCCAACAGAAAGTTGAGCGCTGGTGGAGGCAGGGGGCCCCAGGGGCCCTTGCTGAGCGGGGCGTGCATGCGGAGATTGAGCGTTTCAAAGCCACTTATGTGCTGGTGCGCCTAGGGTTTAGGGTTTAGGGTTTAGGGTTTGGGGTTTGGGCTTAGGTTTGGAAGAAAACGAAGCCAGCGCGCACGGGCTGTAGCCCCCGAGCTGCAGCAAGCGCCCAAACCCTAAACCCCAGCCTGCATCCAAGGGGCTGCGGGCGGAGAAGAGGGTTTAGGGTGTGCAGCTAGGGTTTAGGGTTTGCAGCTAGGGTTTAGGGTTTAGCGCGGGCTCCTGCAGGTGCCTGGGCTCGACGCGGCGCTGGCGCAGCGCCTGCGGCGGCTAACTGCTGCTTGCTGCCGCCACCTGCCGCAGGGCCTCGCGGAGTCGAAGGAAGCAGCAAGAGTCATGGAGCGGTGAGCCCCTAGCAGCAGCAGCAGCAGCAGCAGCAGCAGTAGGAGGAGCAACAGCAGCAGCAGCAGCAGTAGGGGCAGCAACAGCAGCAGCAGCAGCAGCAGTAGGAGTAGCAACAGCAGCAGCAGCAGCAGTAGGGATAGCAACAGCAGCAGCAGAAGCAGTAGGAGCAGCATAAGTATCAGCAGCAGTAGCAGCAGCAGTATCAGCAGCAGTAGCAGCTGCAGCAGTAGTAGCAGAGTCAATGGCAGCAGCAGCAGCAGTAGCGGCAGTAGCAGCAGCAGCAGCAGCAACGCCTAACCCTGGCAGCAGCAGCAGCAATTCCGCGCCTTAGCCGCAAGGCTTTGAGAAGAAATCTAGCCAGAGCTTGAGGCGCACCGGCTTGCTTAGCTCCGAGCCCCCTGCTGCTGCTGCTGCTGCTGCTGCTGCTGCTGCTGCTGCAGGTTTGTGTGGCTGGAGGCGCACGACCGGCTGTGGCCTTTCTTCCTGGAAGCTGGCGAGTCGAAGCAAAAAGAAATTGAAGTGAGGGGAAGAAACAAATTGGCTGGGGCTGCGTGGGCATTTGGGGTGTACGTACAGCTGGGGGCGCGCGCTGCGCGCGCTGCGCGCGCTGCGCGGCGCTTCAGGTGTACGTACACCCCAACCCTGCGGCCTGTGCATGCAGCGGGGCCTTCAAATCTTCAGAACTTCCGTGGCTTCTTCTTTAGAAGCTTTGGGTCTCCGTCGGGAGCTGCGGGGTACAGACACCGGGGAGGCGGGCAAGGAGGTGGGCAAGGTCTGTGGGGTGTGGGCTGTATCTGCACTGCGGTGTACAGGCACCAGCAGCACCAGCTGCAGCAGCAGCAGCAGCTGCTGCTGCTGCTGGTGTGCGCCAGTTCCTTTTTTATTTGGGGCTTTGTGGGGTCCCAGTTGGCAGCACTTTGCGGGCCGCGAGGTGTCTGTACACCTGAACTCATGCGGTGTCTTCGCAGGTGCCCTCTATGCTGCTGCCCCACGAGAAGCTGCAGCAGCTCTGCCGCGCTGTGGACGCAATTCACCGCGCATTCAACTCTGCTGTTGCTGCTGCTGCTGCTTCTAAGGGCTCTTTGGGGCTTGCTCGCGAAGAAGCTGTGGAGGTGAGCGCCGAGGGCTTAGGGCTGCATGCACACAGCCTGCGGCCGAGTCGCTGCTGCTCCTGCTGCTGCTGCTGCTGCGGGAGGCGCCCGCTCGTTGTTGATGCCTCGGGCTGCAGCAGCAGCAGCAGCAGCAGCAGCAGCAGAGTGTGCTTGCTGCTGCCTCCGCGGGGCTGCTGCGCTCAGGTTTGCTGCGAAGACCTCGTGGCGCTGCTGGTGTTGGCCCTCGCAGAGGGGGGAGCAGCAGCATTTGTGGCCAGCTATTTGCACATGTTGGTGCTGCTGCTGCAGCAGGTGCGTGCTTTTGTGTCTCTCCCACTGCCTACGCCCCTTGTTCTTCCCCCTAGCAGCAGCAGCAGCAGCAGCAGTGGTAGTACCAGCAGCAGCAGCAGCAGCAGTGGTAGTATCAGCAGCAGCAGCAGCAAGGACGTGCTTTTATTTGTGGCTGCGTGCTTTTCCTTGCTGAGTGCGTTGGGCCGAGCTGCATGCATGCGGGGGCTGAGACGAGCAGCAGCAGCCCTTAGGCTGCTGCTGCTTAAGGCAGAGCAGCAGCAGCCTGTCTCATTCGTGCCTGCTAAGCAGAGATACAGACGCGAGCACAAACATGTCCTTGCTGCTGCTGCTGCTGCTGCTTCTGCTGCTGCCGCTGCTGCTGCTGCTGCTACTGCTGCTGCTGCTGCTGCTGCTGGCTTGGATGCAGTCGAGAGAGGCCCGGATGGACAAGGAAGCTTTTTATTTAACTGCGCTGCACTCGGCGCTGACTTTCCTTTCGCAAGCCAGAGCTGTACAGACACCTCAGCCCCTCAGTGCTGCCTAGACACCTCAAGCGGGGCAGCCAGCTGTACAGACACTTGACGCGCCCCACACTCGCTGCAAGTGCCTCCTGCTGCAGCAGCGTCCGGGGCCCCACAGGGCAAGGGGGCCCCCACGGCACAGGTGGCAAACTGGGGCCCCTGGAGGCCCCCCTTGGGGGCCCCTGAAGGCCTTCGTTTGGGGCCCCTGAAAGCCTCCGTTGGGGGCCCCTGAAGGCCCCCCTTGGGGGCCCCTGAAAGCCCCCGTTGGGGGCCTCTAGGGCTCCATCTGGAGCCATTAGGGCCTCCCATGGGGCCCCAAGTTCTTAGCTGGGTCTCTGGAGCCCTTCCTGCCCGGGGCCTCGAAAAGGGGGGCCCCCCACCAGCTCGTACTTTAGGCTCTAGGAGCTTCTGGGGGCCTCCAGGCGCCCCCGGGGGCCCCCGGGGGCCCCCAGGAGCCCCCAGGGGCCTCCGGGGGCCTCTGGGGGCCCCTGGAGTTCCGCTGAGCCCTCGTGGAGGGTTTTCGGTCCCTCCTTGTCTTTGCAGCGAGCCGAGTTGGTTCTTTGCTACTGTCGGGTTTGATTTTAACTTTTGATTTTTCAGAAGAAGGGGCTTTTTGGCGGCCACTTCTCAGGCCCTTCTGCATAGTGCTGCTGGGCCAGGGGCCCCCACGCTAATCTATGAAAGCTGCAGCAAGGGGCGCCACATGACGCACGGCGGGGGCCCCTCAGGGCCCTACGGGGCCCCCACGGCCCTACAAGGCCACGTGGGGCCGCGCAGGGCCACCGGGGCCCCTCAAAACCATGTGGGGCCCCACAGGGCCCCCGGGGCCCCACAAAGCCACGTGGGGCCCCTGAGGGCCCTGTGGAGCCCCTGGGGAGTTTTGTGGAGCTGTACGATCTGGGGCTGTTGCCCACATTTTGTGAGGCTCTTCAAATGGGGCCTTTTATGTCTCGTCTCAGAGGCCCCCTTAGGAGGCTCCACGGCCAGGCAGCAAGAGTGCAGCATTATTCACTCCATATGACGATTTATATAAATAAATATTTGTAATGATATTGAACATTATCGCTATATGATGGTTCCTATAAATAAATATTTTAAATGCTATTAAACATCAAAACTATCAACCGTGGCTCTAAAGTGCCTCTGTGGCTGCTTCTCTGCTCCTCTTGCTGCGGCGGCTCCAGCAGCGGCGCGAGCAGTTTCAAACTGCAACAACAATAAAATCTAATTTGAAAACATAAAATCTAATTTGAAACTATAAATATGTTTTCATTTTTACTTTTTTGTGCACATATAATACTGCTAGGCTCCAGCGGCGCTAGAGCGCACGGCAGCAGCCAGCGAGGACCCGCA